CATCAAAGCATGACCGACCTAGGGGTGGGTTGTGCTGCCAGAGGTGTCCTGTTACTGCTTCTGTTGCAGCTGCCCATGAAGCAGTGCTCCTTGTTTGTGAAAGCAGCCTCTGACTTTGTGCCTGCCCATGAGCCTTTCAATTGGTACACCTAAAAGGATCACTCTTGCCTTGGACTCAGATAAAATGTGAAGGTCCTGTTCACTGAGAAATGCTACAGTTTTGACATTTCCTTGTGTTTTGCAATGTGATTGAAGTAGGGAGGTACTGATACTTTCTGTGCAACAGCAATCCTGGGAAATTTTAATTGGAAATATTATAGTGCCTTTTTATTTTGACATTATTTATACAGGGTTTGGAATTATTTTACATTCCCACAGTTGAAATATTTTGATTGATTAACAGTGAAAAAATATGCTGTTTGGTAATGTTTGGTTTTGAATTATTTCATTACTTCCTAATAGCAGTAATTTCTTGATAATGAAGTACTGCTTGATGGGAGTTGCAGTTCAGAAGCTTGGCAAATTCACCCTGAACAGCTCCTGTTGCCTGATTTACATCTCTGGTACTGCATCATGCAGTTTGGTCAAATGGAATTTGAAGTCTTACTGCCTGATGTAGCAATGGAGGAATCTGGTCTGTATGGCATAAGGCAGGTTCAGGTGTTGATTCTCATGAAGCAGTGTGCTGCAGAGGAAAAAATGGAAGTTTGTGTTCCAGTGTTCTGATTCTCAATGCAATATTGCTGGTCAGGGGAAAAAAAAAGAAAAAAGAAAAAAGAAAAAAAAAATTGTCAAGTATTTTTAGGTTGGATATTTCCTCTGTGTTTCCTGGATAGAAGGTTGAAAATATATGTGTCTAGAAAATTGAAATTATCTGCCACAGTTTGGAAATGCTCTTTCACATGCACAAACTAGGACCAGGAACCAGTCTGCCTAAAATCTCACTTCATTGTAAATTCAATCCTATCCTATGAAACTTACCAGGTTTCCTTGGCCCTGTAGGTAACTCTTCATTAAATAATTCCTGCTAAGTCTGAGAAGTTTTTAGATTCACTCTTTGTTTCACCAGGACAGGGTGAGGAGAGACATTTCAGGGAGCCAGGTATTATATCCTTCCTAAGCTCTGCTATGGGATGAGTTTAGTCCACTGGAGAAACCTGGAAAATCAGATCTCATCAAGACTGCTGGAGGTGGTGACTTCTCCTGAAATAAAACAGTAGTTGGAACACTGCCATGAGAAGGAATGGGTCTTTGCTCAGGGCACCTTCTCCAGAGGGAAAGCAACCTGGGTATGTCACAGTGTAAAAGAGGGACCAGACTGCCAGGTCATGGTCAGAGTTTTGCTTGAGCAAGGTGTGCAAGAGACCTAGGGCCAAAAAGGCAAATGAAAAAGGGAGACTTCTCTAACCTACGATTATGCAGGTGGTGTGGAGGAAAACTCATGGCACATTTTGTCTTTTGTGTGGGTTAAAGTTCAATGCATACATACTGTAGGGAGAAGGAGCATTAGATCCAGTTCTCCATATCTGCAGATGAGTCTGGCTGCTTCCCAGCTGCTGGGGTTGCTGTCCTGACCTTACACCCACATGTGCCTGCCTTGCATCAGGAGCCCTGCCTTCCCAGCCAGCAAGAGTGATACCTGAGTCCTTATGGCACCTCTCAAGGGTGGTGGCTGCCCACCCAGCCACTGAACCCATTGCTTTCCACTTCACCCATAGGTATTTGTGTCACTAGATCATAGAATCATAGTTATTGAAGTTGGAAAAGACCTCTGAGATCATCGAGTCCAGCCATTAACCCAGCACTGTCAAATCCACCTGTCCTGTTTGTCCCCAAGCCCGGGCAGCTGCAGTTTCAGAGCAGTCACCAAAAGGAGGTAGTTGGCACAGGCAGACTTGACAGGACCCACTGCTTTCTTTCAGATTGTCTTACTGATGAAAATGTCCTGGTTTCTGGGCAGGGAGAGCCACAGGGCTGGACAAGCATTCTGCTTTGCAGGACTTTCTTTTATCTCAGCTCAGCAATATCACATCAGCAACAAAATAAAAATAACATGTACAGAAGGACATGTACCATCATAAAATATCAGGGCCACCTTCCACTCCCGGCCTTAAGAGGTCAAGTGTAACAGCTCCACAGCATTTGGGCTGACTGGCTGCTTTAGCCTCTCATGGGTGGTTAACAGTACCTAGCAGAGGAGTAGAAAGTTTAGAATTATAAAGTACTCTTTCAATCCTGGTAGTAATTACCTCTTAGCGAAGTTAGTGCTTTGCCAGCTCAAAGAGACCTAATCCCCTTCTGTAATAGGAAGAGAAAAAATGTAATAGCTGTGAGAACTGTGAAGCTTATTTTCAAATAGATGCCTCAGCATTTTGATATTTTCTGTGGGATTAACTGGTAACACAGGAAGGCTAATACATATGCAGAGCTTTCGTTAGCTTCTGTAACAATTTGCCCCGGGGCAAATTGAACTGTATCATGAGAAATGGTGTTGTTTCCCCTCCTTCTTTGTCAGATGAAGGAAAAAAAAAACTTGTTAGCAACATAGAAACAATTTGCAATTTGTTGTCATTTCAGGGAAGGTTTGTCCTTGCCTCGTACTTCTGCTTAAGTTTCTCTTTTTCTTACCCAAACAGAAAGGGCTGCCATTTTAGAGGCACAGAAGCCACATAATGAAACATGTTAAAGCATCTGCGCTAACATAAAATAGGACTAAAGCTCCTTCTGTACTGATCTGTTGCACTCGCATAGTTGCTGCTAGCTCAAAAAGAAGAGATGCTTTGCTCTGCTCTGTGTAACTCTGGCTCCTAAGTATGGCTTTGTGCCGTGCCTCTGAGGCTGCTTCTGTGAGCATCTGGTGCTGATGGGCACAGGCAGTGATGGCTGCAGAATACTAATGCTACCACTGGCTCCCACAAGGCTCCACTTCTGAAAAATGCTTCAGCCATTCAGTGTCCATGCACCATGCTGAGCAACAGGAGGCTAGAAAAGCCACGCTCAGGGATTTTTTTTTTTTTTTTTTTTAATGCAGAGCAAGAAGCTGAAATGATGGTTCTGTGCTTCACATTGTTGTGCCCAGGCTTCTTTCAGAGCTGCAGTCATTTATATGCATAAATATCAAGCCTGTCACTTGTTGCAGGCTTTGATAGCATTTGTGTAACAAAGGAATCCGAGAGAGAAAAAAGCTGAACATCTTCTATTCCAGCCTTAGAAAATGAATGGCTGTGTAGTTATCAGGTTTCAGGTTTTATTAGATCTCTGTCCTCTGCAATTTGTTTTCCTTCCTGTTCTGCTGTCCAATGTAGAGGACCACGAGAGGACCTCCCCCCAATGCCCTTTTGTCTTTCTCCCACTGTGACTCCCCACAGGGGGTATCTCAAAGAATTACCTACCAGCAATGATTGCCACAGCAAAGCCTCTTGCCACATACTGACCCCGTTTTCCTTTTTGCTTCCATTTTTTTTTCTTCCATTAGCCATCTGACAAAGTCACTCTGCATCACCCACTTCATGCAGGGATACGAGACCTCTGCTGTAATTGTATTTTTGATTACTTACTTGGTTTTTCTTTATCTCCCCTAGGCAAGATGCACGCTTGCTATTTGCTCTGCATGCCATATCTTTCTGCAGTTCTAAATTGAGGCCGACATTGTATTTACCAGTCATCCCTCTCTGCAAAGCTGTGCAGTTGCATCTAAATTTTCTCTGGGTCTTGCAGCTATTCTATATTGAAAGACAACTAAAATACACTGCTCGCACAAAGCTGCTTTTCCATTAAAGCAATTGGTGAAGTATCACAAGAATGTTGTTCTGATGCCAGGAGGGAGGAGGGAGAGGTTTGTACTGATTGCTAATAGGAGGGGGAATAGCCTTTGAGACAATCCCCTTATTAAATGTGGTCTGCACAATGAAAAGCTTGGGAAGCCTTTCCAAGGCTTCTCACATGTAGGCTTTGTGCCCAAGCTCAGGGTCTCAGACATGGAGGTGGTTTCAGAATACCACACAAGGGGAACCGTTTCAGCAAAAATATCAAGGTTACTTGATTAATTTATTAAAGCGCCTTGGATCACCATGCCTCTTTATTGGCATGTAACTCCAGCAGAAAAAGTAACAATTTCTCCCTCGCCCTCGAACCAGCCATTGCTCTGCTGGGCTCTCAAAGTTCCAGGCACAAACAAGAGATAGAGCCCCTCTGAACATTGCCAAGGTTAACTAGAGGTTTCTTTTTTCCCCTGAGTAAGTGTAACTTTTTTGTTCCTCCTCCCTTTACAAGTCTTCCCTAATCTTAAGAAAACCTTGAAGCAGTAGTATTACAGTCTGAAGATATAAACAGTGCAGGATTTGTAGGGACAAGTACTATATTATCCTAAAGAAGGACCTATATGCCTGAAGGCTCGTCTGCCTTTTTTTTTTTCACCAGCTGTATCAGTTGGTCTAATAAAAGATATTACCTTTCCCTACAATCGTTGCCTTACTTACTAGAATAGTTGCCTCCAGGACATGAAACATTTAACTGTGTGTAAAACTCCAGTGTCAGGGTGATAGAGCTCAATGGTGTGATTTCCATGTCCTGAGCCAGCTGGAAAAAATGAAAGTAAGGTGGGATGAACACTTTCCACCCTTATCATTCTGCACATCATTAATGTCCCTTACACCCCCACTCTACACCAGTGTTTTTGTCTTTCCTACCTCTCAACTGTATGGAACAGGTCTTTTCAAACAAATGAATGCATGTTGACTAGCATCTTTTGGATGCTGTCTCGGAGAAACAGCAGCTCTTATGGTATGCTTGATGAAACTTTTCTCTGCCTCCTGATTATTTTCTTGGTTGCTAAATCGCTGTACTTTTGTTGTTGTTGTTTGCTACAAGTGAGATTCAGAGAGCTGGAGAAAAAAAAAAGCCTACTGTGGCTGAGTAGACTGTTTCTCCTTTAAGGGTCACCTAAGTGTTTTAACTTGGTTACAAATCTTAAAGGACTTCTTTTTCTTTTAACATTTCAGGTGAACTTTCTGTGGAAGGCATACAAGACCCATTCCTTGTTAGTGTCCATATTATCACAGACCCAGGTGAATCCAGGACTCTTCAGCAGGCCATTGATAAGCTTCTAGCCTGGATCCACCCAGACCTGCAGCTGTTTCGGGTCTCAGAAAGGCGGGTGCCCAGGAAGCGCAGGAAGCCGCTCAAGGCCGGCGTTTCTCAGCCAGCCCTCTCTGTCATCCTGTTCCTGCAGGAGGAGTACGGGGAAGAGCCCATCTTGCAGCTCCATGAGACTTTTCAGCGGCCACCTTGGCATTACCACCACACAGAGCTAATGCATGGGAAGTTCCTCCCTTACATGCCTTGCAGCCAAGACTTTTACACTCTGGCTCCAGAGACTCCTCTGTGGGCCATCCGCCCCGTGCACTACGGGAAGGAAATGATCCGCTTCACCATATACTGCAGGAATGAGAACTTTGTGGACATTTTGAAATTGTATGAGTTAATACTGAAAAGACCAATGTGTCAGAAAAAAGCAGACTTCTGTGTTTTTCCTGTCTATTCTAACTTGGAAATAGACATTCAGTTTTCTTTAAAAAAACTCCCAAAGGGGCAGGTTCCAGTGAGGACAGAGTCAGCCGTGCTGGAGTTCAGAGTGAGAGATGTGGGGCAGCTTGTGCCTCTCTTGCCCAACCCTTGCAGCCCCATCAGCGAAGGCAGGTGGCAGACAGAAGACCACGATGGAAATAGGATCCTCTTGCAGGTAAACTCGGTATACAGGGAAGTAGAAGCACATTTCTTGGTTTTGTGCAGGAAAGCTTATCCTGCACAGACAGTTGCCCTTTTGTTGGTTGGCTGGTTGGTTTTTTTGCTTTATCCTTGGAGCAAGAGCCGGGACAGTACTGCTGAAAAAAGAATTTGAAACCCCTTGCTGTGTTGTGTAACTGATCCCAAAAGCAGTGAATGATGTTAGCCAGATATCAGTCAACCTCAGTTTATGCTAAGAGTGATGTGAGATGAGATAGCAGTTTTAAAAAATGAGAGAGAAGGAATTAGGAGCCCAAGTGGAGAAATCATAGCTGGTGAGTGTAGTTTTATAAGAGGTATGGGCACAGAACTGACAGGGAGTTTTAAAATAGCCCTCAGTTATGAGATTTTTATGGGAGACAAGCAGAAGTCCTAATGGTACTCATTATTTTCTGGCATCGCTGAGTGACAAACTGCATCTCTCTTTTGCACAGTGATTATCAGGATGAAGAGAGAGGTGATGAAGGAAAAGAAATGCATTCTGAAGAGCAGCCTAAGAGAGACATTCCCACTGACTCTCTTTTTGAACTAACCTCAAGTGCTCATAACCAAATCCTGGGAGTTTTTTTGTCAGGACATCTGTAGGCACCATATCCGGGCAATATATCAGCATGCTCTGCTTCACCCCACCACATCCAAGGGAGATAAAAGATAAGCAGCAAACTCTTAACAGCTGCCTACCCTGCAGAGGGGTATCTGTGGCAATCCAGAGCCAAGTTAATGTGCATTCTTGCACTGCAGAGGGTTTTATTGCTGCTTGCATTCAAGTCAAGGAGCACAGTCCTTCACCTTTATAAGGCTGTTGTTCAGATTTCAAAGGGTGTTCTTTTGGAGTCAATTCCATTCACGTGGCTTGTCCAGTTGCCTGACCTTGTTTCTGTGGAGGACGCATTGTGGGTGCCATCCTTGCCCCATACAGACTTCTCGGCTTGCAGAGAGGTGTGTGCAACCCTCTGTAGCACAGTGCCTCTGGGTTTGTAGTTCCTGGGACTGAAATTCCAGGTACACAGGGCATCTCTGTTCCACTGAGTCACATCCAGGTGGTAGTGGAGCCTTTCGATGCTGCTTTGCAGGTGCCACCATCAGAAATCCCGTGCCAGAGCTGAATAACACTTGTAAAGGGCTGAGGAGGGCAGCTTCCTTCCCCATCTGGCAAGCCAGTCACCAGTTTGTCACGGTTACTGATTGCACTTCAGGCATATCTGTGTTAGCCTGAGATAAGCTGCAAACTGAATCTGACATGTCATCACCAAACTTACATACAGTAACCACACTCACCTATATCCTCTTTTCCCTGCTCTTTCTCAGGAAGTTTCTGCTGTGTGATACAACTTTGGTTTGTGGGACCTTACATTGGTTTCAAGCAAATTGAAGGGAAGGGTAAAAACAAACAAAAAAATAGGGCTTCTGAATAGGGCTTTTGCTTTAAAGCCAGCAAATTTTCAGAAGTAACAACTATCAGGCAGTACAGAGGTAAAGTGAGACTTGCTGAGCAAAGAAAATCAGAATAAGATTTTAGCCATATAAACCCAAAGAGAGGAGCAGAAAGCTGCATAAGTATGGCCTACAAATACAATTGATTTTCATTTCTCTTTTTGGTGAGGATGATCACTCTGAACAGGAGGACAAAAGGGCAAATGAGAATGAAGTTACAGAAATGGAATTTATCACTCTGGAAGTTTGGTGAAGCAAAAGAAGTTTAGTATATGCAAAGTAGAAGGAAACAAGAGACTTTGGATCTAATTCATATCATTTTAAAGTCATGAAAACTAGGTCCTGGTATATGGGTTTTAAGTACATCTGTACAGTAAAAAGTGGAGCTCTACAGCTTAATCAAAGGGAAAATTTCCTGTTACTCAGATCTCTACAGCCACCAGTGCAACATGACCATGAAAATAAAATTGCAGTCCCTGGTGTGTACCAGAGTTACTGTGCCATAGGAAGCACAGAAAGTTGCACAGGGTCCCAAGGGCCACACCTGTCTTCAGCTCTGGACTCCGGAAAGGTGACCTCAGAAAGTGGAAAGTGCAGGAACAGGGAAGGGCTCTCCCCACATGCAGAGGAATGGAGAAACTGTCCTGCAATGGGAAACTGGAAGAGTAGGGTCACCTAAGCCCAATTAAAGTAAGTCTGAAGGGAGCTCTGACTTGAAAACAGAGCACATGATAAACAGCAGGAGCAGGAAAAGGCTGGTTTACTCAATTATTGTTTTGATACAGGAACAAGAACCTACCAATAAATAGATTTTAGTACATATTCATAGTTAACTGCATAACAGCCAGCAGGTGCAAGCAGGTTAATACCTGAATTTAAGGCAGGATGGTCAGTTAGGGAGAGGAAATGATGGAGCATGGGTTATAGGAAACACTGGATTTGGTGATCCATGAACTCCTCATACTAATTTAATTCATTCTAATTTAAAGCAATTATAATATCTACCTTTGAAAGTGACAAGACTACATTTTGACTTCTCACAGAGAGTTGCTATTAGCAATATTTTCCATGCCACAGCATTGATGATAACTTTGACTTCCTCCCAGTTATATAAACTTAAACAATGACCTCTCAGTACTTTTCAGTCTCCATATCAGTTGATAATTAGTAATCATCAGAATGGTTTTGTTTACTTTATACAGATACTGCACCTTTTTTAAATTATAATTGTACCAAAAATGATAGATTAACATCCCTGTTAAATTGCAGGCAGTGTTTAAAGTTTGAAGTTTGAGTATAGCTCCATGTTCAAGCTAATGAAATGTGACCTCTTGCTTGTCCTGACAGGGACTTGGATACTTGCCAGCCAGATTGATCCATGTTCTTAATCCATTTTGCAAATGCAATTATCAGGGGGCTTAGATAAAGTCAGTTCAAGAGACAACAAAGTTATTCATGGGTAAGATAAATCTGTTTAATGCCAAGTAACTATTCCTTCATTTGCAGGGAAGCCCTTGAGAATTATTTTGTCACAGTAGCTTTTACACATTGGCAAGTTGCTCCAAGGGCGCAGCCATATGACAGCTGAGGTACAGGGTTCAGCTGGCTGGAGCAGGATCAAGGCTTAGGAACAGGATTGCATCCTGTGGGACGACACCCACACTACTTCACCAGAGCTCAGCCCAGAAGCAGGAGCTCTGGGGAGCTTTTGGCAGAGCAGTGGGAAGAACATGTAAATAATGGAGCTAAGAATATGCCATGTACTGGTATGCTGAGTGCACTGCTGGATTTATAGGTCTTGTCCAGATTCTTGGCTGCCTCTGGGCGTAATCCTCACAGAGACAGATGAAGTGCTAATCAACTTGCAGTCCTGGCAATGCAGTGTGGGAAGCAGGAAAGGTTGGTAACTGATTGGACTGGCTTGACCATGCATGTTTGGGAAGCAAGGATAGTGAGCAGAGAGGAGAAAGTGCACAGATGGCTTCTTTAAATTATGATAACATCTCTGGATAGAGTAGGGAAAATAAAATAATATTTTGGCAGGATTTCCTAGTCACTCTGCATGCATGAGATGGAACATGCAGACCCAGGAGGAAGGTGGACACCAGAAAAAATAATATCTTACCTAGGCAGAGACTCAGCACTTGAGCATAGGACCTGCTGCTGTTTTACATGCCAGAGAGTGCCTGTGCAGTTTATGAGGTGGCTATTTTCTGCCTACTGCTGCTTTTTAAGGCATCCTTGAAATAACACTGCAAATGTAAACAGATCACAGCTTATGAGGAGGTAGAGGGATTCTTTTTTTAGCTGATTTGCTGAATTAATCGGCCAATGTTCTTATCTGTATGGGCAACTGTAATCTTGAGTTGAGAAGTGGTGTCATGTGCTTCAGGAGCAGAGGTAGCAGCCATAACTGGCACAAGGAGCTGGGACAAGCGCACTCAGTTATGTACAAGTGGAGAAGAGAAATAAAGGCAGCGAAACCAAGGTCAGAGAAGGCAAAAAGACAAAAACAGGCAAAGAAAGGGCACTTTTGCAGAGAACAGTTCAGTCTGCAGGAAGGAAAATGAAGGTCAGAAAAGACCATCAAGCTTGCTGAATTATTACACATAATAGTGCAGAAAGAGCAGAATAGAGCATAAAGAGGAGGAAAGGGAAGAAAAGCATCCACAGGCGCAGGCTGCCCAGAGAAGCTGTGAATGCCCCATCCCTGGCAGTGTTCAAGGCCAGGCTGGATGGGGCTTTGAGCAGCTTGGTTTAGTGGAAGGTGTCCCAGTGCATGGCAGGGGGGTTGTAGCTATACAATCTTTCAAGTTTCTTCCAACCAAATTGTTCTATGTCTTATGATAGGCAAGAATGTGTACAGGGCATCTTTACAAAACTTATATTTATTTTCTTCTGAAGGTGATGAAAAAGACACACTTTCAGAGCAAAAATTGACTCAGTCAAGGGAAGTGCCATGAACTGATTTAATTAATCTGCAAATCTAATACTAGTCTCCTGTTTTACAAAATATTTTATTCTATTTTTTCATTTCCTTTTTGTGACATAAGTGTTTGGTTGTCCTTAATGCTATTGTCTGGGTTTTGGGGGAGCAGTCCCTTAACTCCTATAAGAGATTTTAACTTGTTTTTCTTCAGCCTAAGGTACTTTATCCAGTTAAGTTCTATGGCATACTAGGATCTCTTACAAATCTATACATGCAGCAAAAATTCTTGAGAATGAATATATTTTGTGTTACAAAGCACTCAGCTTTTCTATTTCTGTAAACACATTATAAGCCGCTTTTCAAAGAGGTTCAATTTTTAATCAAATCTGTGCATTTTGCCTCTTTGAAATGGTGTGCTTCTGACTATTTGTCTTTGAAGTAAGACTTATTATGATGATACTGAGGACTAATCTCCGCCGCTTTTTCTTGTGTTGATTTTTTTTCCTCTGGATCAGTTCCACTGGTTTTAATACAATTAAACAAACACCATCACACTCCTGTTGAGCAAGGCAGGCAGAATCAGGGCTCGAGATGGTGATGTCATTGCTGTGCTTGCTGGGTCCTGACCTCAGCAAAGCCTTGCTGGCAGTTCTTAATGCAGATAATGCTTAAGGAGATCTCTATCTGCTTTCTTAAAAAGCAGATAACTTAAAATAGACTGCAGCAACATTCAGTTAGGTCCTGGCAGCCCAAGTTGAAAGTGCATTTCTGAAAGGTTCACCCCAAGTTGTTTATGGCATTCCCGGATATTCATCATGAAATTCTTCTGCAGCCCATTGTAAAACACAAAGACTCTAAATCCCTCCAGGCTTCACAAAGATTTGTGCAGAGATTATAAATGAGCAGCAGATTAGCACCAGATGAAAAAATCTGTTCTGTTAGAGAGCTAATCTGTTCAGTCAGTGGCCGGGTTTGCTGCACATCTTTGTGGCAAGGTCTGACAAATCCACCTCCCTGCATTTGGAATTTTGGTCAAAATCAATGCGCCACTTTGCCTTGTGCCTTTGTCCTCTCAGATGACTGATGCCCTCTCTCCCTGTGCTTGTGCCTGTTGCAGGCAGCATGGCTGTGCCAGGCAGACTCTGCCAGGCAGCAGGGAGGCAACAGGCAATGCTGAGAGTGTTAGCAACCTGTGAGAAGGCTGATGAGGAGGAATTGAAAAAGAAAATAACCCAGAAAAGATGCAGCTGTTTTCAAAGGCAGTGGCAGGATAAAGAAGGCAGGGAAGGCTCCTCCAGAAACTGAAGAGATGAGCGGTCACATGAGCTCACAGGCTGCGTGCAGCACTCGGTGTGCCATCCCAAGGTGGCACAGGGAGCACAGTCACTGGCCTTGGCACAGGACAAGGAGCTAGTTTTACCTGACTTTTAATCCTGGCTAAATCACTGAATCCCCTCTGTGATCTCTGACAAGCTAGAGAATGTAGATATAGAAAAGTCTTATTAGTCCACATAATCCAGTTCTCTACAATACAGGATTAGCCTGTAATCTTTGTTCACTAGTATCTCGTGGGATGGAGCTTCTGACATGTTACCTGTGGTACACTCTTCTTCGTGTAGCACACCCCTGCTGCTTGTACTCTCTGGTCTTCTTACAGCCAGGAAAGCCTTCAGTTATATTCCTTTAAGATTAAAGTATTAAAATAATATCTCCCCATTATTTCCCCATTTCTGCCCATATAATGAAGAGCAGCATTGGAAAATAGGTCTTTTAAATCTTAAATCATCTAAAGAAAATGATTGAGGTGAGCAGTTCCTCCTATAAACAGCTGTTCAGAAATGAGCTGTGTTAGTGATGTCACTCAGTCTGCCCTGCAGGCAGCCATTCTGGGGGCAGGCTGGGCTTGCTGCCTTCTCCTCACCACCCACCACTGCCTCCTGCCAGGCCAGCTGGGCTTGACCAGGAGCTGTGACCCAGGAGCAAGATTAACAGCAAATATTTTGTGTAAAATGAAGGGCCTCCATCCATCTGCAGAAACTAGGAACTAGGAAAAAGAACTAGGACAAAAAGGTTTAAAATAGCAAAACCCTAAATCTAGCATCTTACCTAAAGTAGATTGCCAGCCACAGTGTGTGTTCTCACTGTAGTACAGCCCAAGGACATAGAAAACAATTCAGCTAACCAGCCCCACACAAGAATTTTTTCAGGGAAAGCTGAATTGCTCTCCAGACCCCACTGGCTGTATTAACTAGACAGCTAAATCTCATTTATTTGTCTGTGGGCTCTGCCTGGCATATGTGTGGTAGACAGGTGGCATGGCCTGCACAAGGTAAATTCTGGCCCCAGAATTCTCTGCAGTGCAAGAATAGATCTGTTCCCAAAATGATTTTGGGAATTGATTCATTGAGCATGGTGGTTGAGTTCATGTAGTGTATCTCATAGCAGAGTTACTGCAGAGAAAAAAAATGGTAGCTTTTGTTAATGCTAACAAATTTAGGACTGTTTTCTTGGTCAAACACATCAAAAGAGTGCAGGACTTTCAGCATGTCAGATTCTTGTTTCTGCGTTATCCAAAAATGTATTTGGTTAAGAAACAGCTAGTGGACAAGCTTTTTGTCTTACAGAGTAATTTTTAAACAAATTGGCTCACCTATTGCACTAATAAAATAATGTTATTTGTAGAGGTCTAACGTGATTTCTGGCTAATGTTTTGTTGACAACTGACTTATTACATTTGAGTCAATTGGGTCCTTTGAGTCATTTGAGTCAGTCTTTTGTCCTCAGTTTCTTCCTTCATATAATTCTTTATGACATTAAGGGGAAACAGCCTACTATATTACACAGAAATAGGTTCTTAAATAACACACCTTATTACAGATATACACATATATATAATATGCATATGTATATTTACTCATCTACAGTATCTAAATTACTTCCATGGTTTGGCTGTCCTATAATCTCCAGTAAGAGATCATGAAAGAGACAAGCATTTTTTGCAGATGTGAAAATCCTTTTTTTGCCCATAAAATCACTTCAATAAAAACCAGAATATGGCTATGACAGATTTGGGTCACTAAGACAATGTGATGTGCACTAGCAAGATGTTAGAAGCAGCAATGTATAGAGCTCTTTTAGAGACTGGGTACAAAGAACCTCCTTGGTTGCCAGGTCTCAGCTCTTTCTGTCATGTCATATAATCTGTTTGGTAAAATGAGCAGGCTCTGTCTTTATCCATTACTCACCCCAGAAGACTCTTCTCTTTCTGTTATTGTTTATAGAAATAAAGAAACCTTTTTTGTTAAAGGAAAAGGGTTTTTTTTGTTTCTTTGTTAAAGAAACCATTTATTAGTTTGTGGTTCTGGGTTTTTTAATGGATAGTTCTTTTTTTTTTCCTGTGGCTCTCTCATTTTCAGTTCAAATTTATTCTTTCTCACATAGGTGTGATTGTAATCATGTGCAGTATTGTAGATGAGGCCAGAACAGTGTTGTCCACAGTGCTTTTTCAACTCACTTGAGACTGCCCAGTACCATGTTGTCACAGCCTTGTTGCTTTAATAGCAGAAAGAGATCAGGATGCCCAGTTCTTTCTCCTCTCCTGTTTCCAACTGACAAGTCCCATAGCTGAGATTATTGTTTATTCTCAAGGGTACAATCTTGCACTTTGTCCCTTTAGTTCCTGTCCCTTTTGGAGCAGAGAGCAAGCATTTTTTATTATGCAAGAAATTCCATTAAGGAGACTTAAAATTAAACTTTTTTAAAGGCTGATTTCTAAAAGCCTCGCTGAAATAAGAGAAGGATGTTGGCTCATCATTTGTCACAGGTGCTTTCCCTGTTCAAATGCTTGAGTATCTGATGAGTAGGCAACTGAACCCTGCCCTGGGACTGGGATTCAGCTCCAGATTTGGACCATAACCATGAGTTTGGGTCTTCAGTCTAGGTGTCTACAAGCAAACTGAACATGTGTCTGTAATGTCACTGTGAGCTAGTTAATAGAGCTGACTAGGTAAGAAAGAAAATGTGAAGGAGTTGAAAGAATTAGTAAATTTCCATTGAGAAGACAGAATGAATTTGCTGAAGGCTTTCTGATGTTTTAAAGGAGGACAAAACAAAACAATAAAAAAAAAACGTTAGGAAGAAATGAGAAATTACAATTATATAATATACTTCTTCCATTTTTTATTATTTTCTTAACCTGTCCACTAAAGTAGTAATGTTGGAAGACAGAATATGAATGAATCTGAGTAAGTCAATAGGAAGCGAGAAATTCAAGCTAGTGTAATTCAGCCCACAAGGCAAGGCTTCTCTACCATCTATTCTTGTTGTCTTTGAGGCTCCTTATGTAAATATTTGGGATTTTGGCAGGGTGGTTTGTCTTTGTTATTGAAGTGAAACATTTGCTGCAAGCATACTGACTGAAGTCTGCTTCATAATTATTTGCAGTAGCAACTCAGCAATGGAGACTCAGGGTTGTAAAACTGCCAATTCTGTATTAATGTGATCTTCTTTCCCTCTCCCCACTGCAGCAAGCACACAGTTGGAGTAGGAAATCTGCAAAGCAGAACAAGCAACTATATCCATCTGTGTCTACAGATTCCCACTTCACCACTCTGCCAGCCTTCCTTCCTCAGAGCCACCGATCTGTCTCTGAACTGCCACAACAAATGGGTCCAAAAAGGGTACATCTCACAAATGGCCTTGGTCATTATCTTGGTTTCTCCCAGGAGGACTTGAGACACAGCCATCTAGGAGACTTCACACGCAGACCCAGGAGTGCCTCCAGCATTTCTTGGTCATTTCAACGAAGCAAGTCTCTGTTCTGCTTGCCCACAGTGAACTCCTCTTCAGCATCAGAGACATTTCATTTCAGTGAACCATTTCAGTTTTTAAACACTGGGTCACCTGCAACCAGGTTAAAAACGTGGAAATGCAGCCCCAAGCTTAACATTGATGACTTAGAGCATGCCCAAGAGACTGATGTGGACACAGGGATGAAGCTGTCCTTCTCAGACCTGTCTGTGGTTTCTGCATACTCTGCCCTTAATGGATTTTGCAGTGAGTTGGAAGACTCTCTTCCATCACAGAAACAAACTGTCAGTAGGGCTAAACAGGCAGGCACCAGGGGAAGGCCTGCATCAGCCATGTGCAATACTTTTGATTCAGTTGGTGGTTCACTGCCTTCTCTTTCAGAATGGTCTTCCAGCTCTTTCATGTCAGCATCTCTCTCCAAGCAACACAAACAGCCCTTGAGAGTAGCTCCCAGTTCTCTGGATGATCATGTTTGCCCAGCTTCACCAGTTAATGAAGAAGAATTTTACATCTGAGGCTTCTCTAACTTACACCTTCCAGAGGAAAAGGGAATGACTTGTGATTGACAGCACTGGGTCCACCCTGAGCTTATAGGTTACTTGCTGAGGAGAAGGTGATGCAGAAGTTTTGTTAAATATGTGAAGAAAGTACTCAGAACCCTCTGAGATTGGCATTCCCAAACCGGGTACAGTAAAGTAGTCTGAGATTGCACCCTGTGTCTCTGTACTGGAGGATATGATCAGCACAGAGGCTTTTGCATAGCAGCGCAAGGTGGATGTTTCTCACCAGCCCTTGGACTGATGGTGAAGGAAATGCCAGAAGAGGCACACAGTATTCCATTTTAATTTGGCAGACAATGAAGACTAATATGTGAAAACAAACTACTTTAACTTTTCTGAGAAATTCCCTTAACTCAGGAAAGGTGGGAAAAGAAAGGGGTCTTATTTCCCATTCACAGGTTCCAAAGGCAGTTCTAAGCACAACAGGTCCCAGCAGCACAGCTCCAGTAGGGTCAGGCAAGATGTTTCTTGTGAGGAAACACTTTCCTTCCCTACTTTGAGAGCTGCCAGTGGTGAGGTGGGGCAGAATTACACAAACATCAAGGTTGGAAGAGGTCTTCAAGATCATCTAAATCCAGGTGACAACCTAGCACTACCATAATCACGCCTAAACAATATCCCCAAGTGCCACATCCTGACACCTCTTAAACACTTCAGACACTGACCCCACCAACTCCCTGGACAATTTATTCTAAGGTCTGATCACCTTTTCAGTGAATATTTCTTTCCTGACATCTAATCTGACCCTCTCCTGGTGCAATTTAAGGCTGTTTCCTCTCATTGTTGCACTCAAGATATGGCAGAAGAGACCAACCCCCACTTCACTGCAACCTCTTTTCTGGTAGTTGTAAAGATCAATGAAGTAATCCTCCAAACTAAACAATCCCGGTTCCCTGAGCTGTTCCTTATCAGACTTTTCCTCCAAAGCCTTCACGAGCTCCATTGCCCTTCTCTGGATGTGCTCCTGCCCCTCAATGTCCTTCCTGAATGGAGGCGCCCAGAACTGAGCACAAGGGTTCTGGGTGCAGCTTTCACCAGTGCCAAGTACAGGGATCCTGCTGGCCACGCTATTCCTGATGCAGGCCAGGGTGCCGTTGGCCTTCTTGGCCACCTGGGCACATGCTGGAGCATGCTCAGCTGGCTATTGACCAGCAGCCACAGGTCCTTTTCCAGCCACTCTTCCACCAGCCTGTTGCAGTGCATGGGATTGTTTTAACCAAATACAGGACCCAGCACTTGGATCACCTTACTGAACTCCACAAGACTGTCCTCAGACCATCAATCCAGTCTGTCACAATCCGTCTGGAGGGCCTTCCTGCCCTCCAGCAGATCAACACTCCCACCCAACTTGGTGTCATCTGTGAACTTACTGAGGATGCACTCAATCCACTCATCCAAATCATCAGTGAAGATGTGAAACAGAGCTGGTGCCACTGCTGAGCCCTGGGGAATACCACCAGTTACCAGCAACAAACTGGATTTATTTTCATTCCCCACCACTCTCTGGGCCTAGCCATCCTGCCAGTTTTATTCAGTTAAGAATCCACCCATCCAAGCCATGAGCAACCAGTTTCTCCAAGACAGTGCTGTGGGAGGCAGTTCCAAATGCTTTCCTGAAGTCTGGATAGACAACATCCACAGACTTTCCCTCACCTCTGAGTGGATCCCATTGTCATAGAAGGAGATCAGGTTGGTCAAGCAGGACCTGCTTTTCATAAACCCGTACTGGCTGGGCCTGAGCCCTTGGTTGTCCTGTACATGCCTCGTGATGGCACTCAGGATGATCTGCTCCACGACTTTCCCCAGTGCCAAGGTCAGGTTGATAGGCCTGTGCTTCCCCAGATCATCCTTCCAACTCTTCTTGTAGATGGGCATCACATTTGCTAATTTCCTGTCAACTGGGACTTCTCCAGGAAACCAAAACTCCTGGAAAAGGGTTGAAAGGGGTTTGGCAAGATCTTTTGCCAGCTCCCTCAATACTCTCAGGTGCATCACATCAGGGCACATGGATGTGTGTCTAACTGGGACAAAAGGTTGTTAACCCTTTCCTCACAGTTTATGGGGACTTCACTCGGCTCCTTACCCCTAACTTCCAGCTGTCATTGCTGGGTATGCTGGAGGCAGCTGGCTTTGGTGTTAAATACTGAGACAAAAAAGGCACTAGGTACCTCAGCATTTTCCTCATCCCTTACACTGTGCTACCTTGTGCATCCAGCAAAGAAAGGAGACTCCTTAGCCCTCCTTTTGCTGGCAATGTTTTTATAGAAACTTCTTCAGAAGAAGTGTCACTCCTTCCCCAGGGAAGAGGAAATTCCACTGTATCTTTTAATTTGACAGATCAGGATGCAGAAAGTGCCAAAAGAGAAACCTTAGAGAACATTTTCAGCCCCCTCACCCAGAAAGCCCGTCCTGTTCAGCTAGAGGGGAGCCCTCTGGGCTGTGGTCTGAACCACCTGTACAGACAGTGATAACCTGAGTAAACCATGTTTGCTACTCCTGACTCAGGCAATACAGCTTACCTTTTTGGAATACAAACCAAGAAAGGTAACCCATCATTTTTATATATTGCTACACCATTAGACCCAAACAAAAGACAGCTCCCTGTTTTTTAAGGGGTTGTTATTTTTCTGTTAGAAATAATCGATGCAGAAACTTTTTCTTTGTATTTCCAGTGCAAGCATGCTTCTTTCTGGATGAAACTTGTTTCTTCTTGAATACCTCTCCCCAAAGGGAAGACAGAAGATGTCTTTCAGAAGATGTTTTTAAAATATGCATTTTTGATAACCTGTTTTGCTCTAATTAAAAAAGTAAGTGAAAAGCTGCTAATATGACAGCTAAGTACCTTCACCAGGATTTGAGTCATATAAACAAATTTTATTATGTGTGTTCTGAAAATTATATTTTTGGCTGACAAGTGTCACTGATCACAGCTCTGGTCAAGCCACTGGGGAAATGATCATGTTAAAAGGTGTGTGTATAATGCTGGATGTAGCCTATATACAGGTGTAAATGCTGAAGACCTACCATGATGGCATTGTGGTGTGTGGAATAAAAACTCATTTTCAGAGAAAGATATTTGCTGTATCACCAGGTAATTTTAATTAAAAGAATTTCTGCTTTGGCAGGGGAAAAAGGGTGGAAAGGCACACACATACTGTAAATAATAGTCACAAAAAGTGGAACAGCTCCCCTGGCCCATTTAGGTAAGTGCATGGTTTTTACAAACTATTCTGGAAGAAAGTCTAAAGGAAAATGAGTGCAGGTTTTTAGAGGAGGAACCTGCAGCCCGAGTCTAGAAGAGGCCAGAGTCAAGGTTTTTTCCTTTTGCTGTTGTTTTCTTCACACAAGAAAAAAAGCAACAGACTGAAGTCCAAGTCTCCTCTCTGTGAGATGCTCTCATAGCATTTACCAGGAGTAGACTTTGTCTTTTGTTCTAAACGCAGTAAATAAATAGGGAAATCTATTCAAAGTAAAGAGCACAGAGGATTATCAGCCTTCTCCTGCCCTCTAAAAGTGTTTAGGCTTACTGCAGTTTTGGGTAAACTGTTCTCTCCCTGGGACCAAAAATAGCACTAATGAAGAATTTGTCATGGCGTGTTTACCTGCTCGGTGCTCCTTCAGACCCCACACAGTCTTTCCTCTGACTGTTGTGACCTTTAGATCAAATCCCTCCCTGGAACACGTGAACCTGATTCATCTAAAGTTGTATTCCCATGTTATTGTTTGTACCCTGCCAAAATATATATAAAAAACCACTATGAAGTCAGACTAGCCACTTTTTCCATCAGCTTGCATTTCACCGTACAAACAGTGATGCCTAGGACAGTCAGCATCCACAGGTTTAAATTTATGCTTCATCATTTTCTGTCCATAATCATGGTATTTTAATAATTCAGAAAACATTTGATCTGGACATGAAACAAAAAACTCATTTGAGCTGATGCAGCTGTCTGATCCTGGCATCATGCCAACACTCCTGACAAAAAGCTGATTGGGATTTTTAATGAAGAGGAGGCTCTGAACCATTTTTCTGCTAAGGCATGCCTCTAGAAGGAGTCCATCACATCTGGGGGCTGTCTCCTGCTGCAGCAGGAAGCACTGGTACTGAAGATCCACAGGGAAGCACAGGACAGCTCAAGTGTCAGTCATGAGGTTCGTGTGTGTTATTAACCAGCAGCTCCTCGAGCATGTCAGCTCCAGATTTTGCCACATTAATCCTGATGGGAAGAGAGCCAAATGAGTGTCCACAGACTCTGCATTTGTATTGTCCCCACTGGTTCTGTCTCTGTTCTGTTTACTGATACCTAATTAGAGATTAAAGTTTTAATTGTTTACATTGATGGTGCTTGTAACCAAATCTTGTAAAAAATGATTGTCCTACTGTCAGGAAAAACAGAGGTGATAGTGTACAGAAAACTTTCTGTCTATAAAAAGAAAGATTATGAAATGTGTTTCACTGAAGGTAGGCTTCATTAATTCTCTTCCCATTATTGAAGAAGGAGCTCATCTCTTCAGAGACTTGAATATGCACAAGTTTCATGCCATTTACTTATTGATTTGGTTAAATTATCAACAGTGTATTTTGAGAACTGCAGGTTTTTCCTGAACTTTTTCTCCTTCTCACCCCAGAATGCACTTCTTCTGTGAAATAAAATAGAGATGAAAAGTCAGTTGTACATTACCTTCTGTGTGTTCATTTATAAAGTCTTGCAGACTTACAGAGTATTTTAACTAGGCTTCCAAAATGACTGCAGTGCCACAAGCTCTACAGCTTTTGGTGGTGTGTGTTGGTGGGATAATTACAAAATAAACGCAGCAAAAATATTTTTTGTTGGACTCAGTTTTGCCTCTGTAGACTGGGCCTTTTGATTCTCACTGTGGTGTTGTAAATCATTTTCTCTAGTAAAGGTGAATGATAAAATAGGAGCTGTGACACATATTGGTAATCTTGCACGCTCAAATCCCATCTGGGTTTGTTTGATGTACATTGGTCTCCATAATCATCCTTTCCTCTTATTTTCCTCAGTGTGTGGTGTTACCTATTATGCATTTCTTTATTCCCCCCATGGGACACATCTACATGTCAGCATTACATTGTATATGCAAAGCTGTGTAGGTTTGGCTTTGTTTGGTTTTTATGGTTTTATGGTTTAACATTGTGAGGCTTATATATGTTTTTATGGCACTTACAGAGCTGTAGAAACATCAGGAGTTGGAAGAGGCCTCTGGAGGTTGTCTAGTCCAAGGCATCTGCTGAAAGCAGGCACAAGGCTGCTCAAGCCTTCAGCTTTGGAGTTAAATCAAGTTATTCGGGACCTTGTCTGGTTAGATTTGAAAGTATTTAAAGGTGGCCATTTCACAGTGTCTCTGGGCAATGTGTGCCAGTGCTTACCAGCTGTAATGGTGAAGAATTGCTTCCTAATCTGCAGTGACAATTTCTCATGTCCGAAATTGTGATCTTTCCCTCTTGTTTCACTGAGAACCTGTGGGAAATCCAGGCTCTCTCTTCTCTATAATCCCACTTCAGGTGCTGGAAGACTGAAGTTGCTCCTGCAGCCTTGGTCTTCTCACTCCCTGACCCTCTGAACTCTCTCAGGTTTGTCAATACCACTCTTGTACTGATGACCCCAAAACTCTATACAGATGTATGGATGTGGATGATGGGCGCTCAGCTGCCAGGAA